ATATGCCATAGCGCCTCCCGGGCACCCCGCACAGCATCAGGGGGGATGCCCTAGCCGGTCCCCCCCCGTGTCCCGGGACCCACAAAGTGGCCGCCTGGGTCGCTATGGCGATTGTTACGCCACTGTACAGCACTCTGCCGGCCCCTCCCGCCAGCCATGATCTGCCCTGCATTGCACAGAGACCCATGTCCCATGTATACATCTAACTGAGACACTTACTGAATAGACAAACACAGGAAGGAAGGAAGGAAGGAAGGAAGGTGGAAAGGAAATAGGAGCACCCGGCCACACGGAGAATATCATATGTAACAACAGTCCAGTTCTGATCCTCTATTTATTATATAGAAATCTTCCTGGAGTTGTCTCTCCCCGGGATCTCCGTCTCTGTTGCCAGTGTTTCCTTGTTATTGATACATTTATTATCCGGGAGACTTTCCTTCCATCGGGGGATTGCTGAATTCAATGTCCTCTATGGCAGTGCTCCCCAACCTTTTTATCGCCGCGGACGGGTCAACGTTTGATCATTTTACCGCGGCCCGCTGAGGGGGGGACGTTGATTGTTTATATTTTAGATTGTTTTGATTTAATAATTTTAATTTAATTGCATTTAAAAATGCCTTCAAAATAAAATACAGTTACACCAAAAAATGAAAGCGTTGGAATGCTTCACCTAAAAACTGGGCGAGATTACGTTAAAATGTGTGACCGCGTCACTGGTCACACATTCTAACGTAGTCTCAAACTTTGATAGATCACATGCCTACCTGTAATCATTTAATCAGAGAAATAGATTATAATAGGGAACATTACAGTGTAATATTCCCCATTATAATCCACGTCTAATGACATGATGTAAGACACCCCCCCCCCTTCCCCCGCTCAGACTCACCCTTCCAGGAGCAGCGGCCATGGGTCGATGTGTGCACTCACTGCAGGGGGCGGGGGATCTGTGACAACGTTACCAGATATCAGACTCTCCCATCATCAGGTGACGTCACTTGTGGAACAATTCTGCATGTTCTGTCCTGTGCAACGCCACAAAGCCCCGCCCCCTCCTATTGCGCAATTTGGGAAAACACAAGTGTAATGTTCTTCCTGTGTAGAGATTGTTCCATGCTTGTAGTCGGTCATGTGACCTTAGCTGAGTCATGCAGACTTTTCATTATTCCGCAAAATTCAATGCAGCTCAATAGGGCCGAACAGTAGGGGCCCCCGGTACCCAGATAGCGAGGATAACTTGCCACAAACGTGTGTCAGGGGGAAATTGTAATTTTGTTAACTTGCTGCGCACGTTCCTGGCAGGTTGTAGACTCGCAGAACACTCGCAGCGCAAGTTCTAGGCGACACTTTTTATATTTGTAGCAAATTTGCTCGGCAAGTCTACAGCGAGAGTCCCGCAGGTCTTAGCAAGAGCTCTGCAAGCTCGCCGGTCTGGAGACTTACTGTAATTGTGCAACAGAATTGTGAAGCTCGGCAAGTCTGCAATAGTTTAGCGAGTCATTTTATAACTTGCAGCTCAATTGCTCGCTGTCTGGGTACTGTTCATAGACGCCAGAGCATGCGTGATTCGGACCTCTGGAGGAACCCTGAACTTCAATGTTCTGCATAGCAGGAGGTTCTTGTCTTTGTGAATGCAGAAGGGGAGGATAGGAGCAATTCTTACTGCCGCTGTTGGTGCCACTTGACCAAAGAACCGGCAATAGAGGAGGAACCAATGTTTTCCATTGACAGGTCAGTTGGGTAGTGCTGAGTGAATCCAACAAAATTTGGGTCAACCTGAATTGTGTGAAGCAACAAAAAATGTAACAAGCTCAGGTTCCAAATTGTGTCGAAGTCAATGATTTCTAGACCCTAACTCTAAGATTTTCTTGCATTTTACTGTTATAGTTTCTTATTATTTAACATACACCAAACGAGGTCATGAAAGTGAAAATAAGTATAATTTAACAAATTTGGGTAAAACTCCGGGAGTTGGATGAAAGACGACCTCGTGGAAGAGAGAGGTTTGTGAGAAGTGACCGTCGTGTTGTCTCTGTTCTAGGCACACGTGACTCTCTCTACCGCCGGGCTCATCGGATCCGTCGCTTTCCCCTCCAATGCCTTCATCACCCACTTGTCCATCATGAGCCCCTCGAACGAGGTCCTTCTCCTAATCCTGGGTCCCAGCCTCAAGATCAGCATCTTCGGGAGCGTCACTTTTGAGGTACAAATCTGAGTCGGTTTATGGTTGCAGTTAGGGATGTTCAGACACCAAGGACCGTATTCGGTACCAGTACAGATACTTTTTGAGCCCCAAGACTAGAGAAGAACTCAAAAGTTAGGAGGCGGCTGTCATGTGTAAGGAGCACCCGGAGCTCCCGGGATTTCTACATCTCTGTTATAATGTATCATTATGTTTTTATAGATATATATAAGTGATGCACCGATACCAGTTCTGATACATTCCAAGTCCTCACAGATACAAGTACTGATACTGGTCCAAGTCCTCACAGATACAAGTACTGATACATTCCAAGTCCTCACAGATACAAGTACTGATACACTCCAAGTACTCACAGATACAAGTACTGATACCTCTCCAAGTCCTCACAGATACAAGTACTGATACATTCCAAGTACTCACAGATACAAGTACTGATACATTCCAAGTACTCACAGATACAAGTACTGATACATTCCAAGTACTCACAGATACAAGTACTGATACATTTTTGTTTAGTGTCATGTGACAGTTTTTCTAAAACAATACAGACTAATGATCTCAGGACAGTGGTGGAGCGCCAGAGCCCGGTCCCAGCTGCAACTGCTGCAACCCTGGTAGCATGAAAATGTCAAGTATCGGCACTGGTATCAGCACTGGTATCAGCACTGGTATCGGTGCATCCCTAGTTCCAGTACATAGAACCGGTCACATCAGTCCCGGAGGAAGGTTGCAATCTAATCTTCCCTGCACACTCATACACACTCTGAGGCTGTGAGAGTCCAGTTACCCTACCTGTGTTTTTTTGGGTTGTGAGGAAAACCACCCAAACACGGGAAGGACATGCAAATGTCACGCAGAAAGGGAATCTCATGGAAATGGAACCCGGGAAACCAGAGCTGTAAAGCAAATATAACTGATCACGTAGAGCCCACGGCCTACACCATCACCCTGATCATTCTTCCAGGATGGCCAATATGTTAGAGATTGCCCCTACACTGGGGGATTGTGGGGTCTGCTCCCCATTGAGTGTTGCTAGCCTAGCACAGGAGGAGCAGCTTCTATACATCAATAACATTTCCTTTCAGTTGTAATTAGATAAATACATTCCAGGTGCATGAAAACAAAATGTGAGCAAAGTGTGTTTTCTGTAGAAAGCCGCCACAGCATGCTGCAGAAGAGAACCTTTGCTCTGTGTGTGGAAGCAGCGGTCTCTCTGAAATGGTCAGACACCCCCCACCCCTCCCCCTCCCTATCCCTGCTGAGTCAGAGCTAAAGCTCTCCAATCCTCAGGGAGCATGAGCTCTGCTGATTGTAGAACTTTAGGTCAGCCTCAGCAGGGGGCATGTGTGACCTCTGCAGAGAGACCACCAGAAGAGATGGGAAAGTTCAATGTTTATTCTATATGTACCGAGGTTTCTGTCTCTGAAGTGTCTGTGCTTGTACTCGGCAGGTGAAATCTCGAGACGAGCAGCATGTGGTGGGGATGATAAGGAACGAGGGGAACCGGTATACAATCACATTTCCAAAGGACATGGAGGTGACGATGAAAGCCATGCTACTGGCCTCCTGCTTCTACTTGGTGAGGACATCTCCATTCTTCTCCTAATGTCACCGACTGCTGGAGATAAGACTGAGAGCTCCCAGTGCTGATTATATTTGGGGCTCAGGGCAAGTGTGTGCGGCAGCAACTGAAGGTTACGGTTTATGTTTAGAGTGTGGGATTGGGTATAGGGATAAGGTCACAGGAAAAATGGAGTGGTGTGTACACATGTATGATGGGATGAGGCCTAAATTCAATCATGTTTTCTCCTTCATCTATCCATAGGCCTCATTGTGAATATATGAAGCACACTGATGTAGCAGTTAGGTACCAGGAGGATAGTAAAGGGTTCCAGGCCCTTCAAGGTGAACTATAGCAGGGTCATTGGAATAATGCATAGAGGAAGGAAAGGAGAGTGGAAGGAGCACAGAATACCTGATCGTTTTCTATACAGTATCCAGTCTCTGGTGTCCTGCACGTCTTCTAGACTCTCTATCTTCCTGCTCTCATTGGATACTACACACAGGATCTGGATCCTTGGAGATTAAAGGAGAACTATGAGGTCAGTGTTTTTCCCCCATAGTTCTCCTTAGGGTAACGGGAGGACACAAACTAGCGTCCTCCCGTTACCCTAAGCTCAGTATATAGGGAGCTGTAGCTCGCGGTATACTTTAAGGTTCTAGTGGTATCTTAGTCCTTGTGTTCCAAGGCAGAAGAGCTGAGAAGGTTAATGTGTGGTCTTCTAACCCAGACAATCACTCACCACCTCTCTCCAGCGCCAGTTGCTTCCTCAAGGCCAGGCAGGGCAACTTCCAGCAGGCAGCAACATCCTGAGATCTTCCAGGAGGGGAGATTCTTCTAATGACTTCCAACTCAAGAGCGAGAAACCCAACTGAACCATTCTCTCAGGGCTTCAGCTCAGGAGGGAAGAGCACGTGTCAGAAGGTATGCCACATTAAAACCTCCCTAGCACAAGTCCCCAGACCCACTTCCCAGCGATTGGCCAGTTTAATCACAGCCTGCTGGAAGATGGCTAACAGCACCTGGCAGAGACAATAAGACTTTGTGCTACTGACAAGAAGAAGGCTATGAGCTCACAATGAGAATTCAGGAAAATGTTATGCGTTCTATACCTGATGTATAGGAAGGCAAGCAGGGGTGCGGTTCTAAGCCTGGACTTGAGGTCTCAGAGTGTATCTTGGTCTCTCCATAACGCAGAACTGTGGAAAGAAAGAACATCCTCTCCTGGAGCCTCTTTGTGTTTCTTGGGGCCTTCCATATATAATGTCAGAGCTCAGAGATGTATTGTATAATTCCCCTGAGCCTGTGGGGCTCGCGGACTCGCAGCGGGCGTCCAATATTATGGCAAACGCAAATTTCAAGGTGTGAACTTCACAAGGCGTCCTACGTGGCATATGCTGGCATTTGGCCCCTGTACCAGGCGTTGCTGCATGTCATGCTCCCATGGAATGGAACGCATGCCATGAAGTGTATGGAAATAGGTAAAGCAATGAGTCCAGACTGAACCCTCTGAGCCCGATGAATATTTAACTGTTTATACTATTCTAAACTGAATGACTGAGCATTGTGGAGTTTTTCCAGCAGTGCACCAATTGTGATATATTATTCAATAATTGCGGACCCCCCAACCCCAAATATAGTCCTCTAGCATGTCCAGTGATATCGTGGCCCCTTCCTCTTCTTCCTCTAAAGGTGGTGGTGGTCATGATGGGGGGAGGGGTAGTCTTCCTGGATAAATCAGCGCTCACGTAGTGACACGTGAGCACCGCTCAGTCTCGGAGTACCGTGGGCCCATCCTGCACGATGACGCGCCCCCATAGGCGGCATTTTCGTTTTATGTTACACAGAATAAAACAATAACAAAAAGGAAGGAAAACAAAAGAAAGATAAATATTAATGGTAAAAAAAAAAAAATAGAAATGAAAACACAGCAGAAAGAATGATTTATATTTAGAAATATTGTATTATTTATTTATATATATTTTTGGTTGTTTTCTTTAACTGATGTCATAAAGCAGGACACATGTCGCACACCTCGACCTACATACGAGTGATGCAATAAAGTTGATGATTTACTAAAGGAGTTAAAGGAGAACTATGAGGGGAGGGAAAATCACTCATAGTTCTTGAGACTGTCGCAGGTCGGCTCAGTACATCGGGAGGTGAGAGAACACATACCGGCGCTCGCTCACTTCTCGATCCTGCCCCTGCAGAGAGTGGTGACTGTCACTCACGGCTCCCTGCAGTGATTTCCCCCCCCCCCCCCCCCCCCCCCCCCCCCCTCGCCTCCCCCCCGCCCCTGTCTGCCACTTTTGCCATCCATGTAACAGTAGTGGGAATGTATCTATCAGTTTAGGAAATTTAAAGCACACTGGTAGTGGAGGGATGCCTCGCCAGGGTTGTGCGCGTGCATGACTGCTGCGACCCGGGTAGTTCTGCCACTAACTCAGAAATACATTGTACAGCATTGCAGAATGGCATTGGCTATAGAGAACTACAATTCCAAGCAATACATTACACAACAATGCAGAATACCATCAGCTATAGCGGACTATAAATCCCAGCAATAATGACTACCAACAGCT